ACCCCACCCCCAAACGCATGACGATTCATATCATCTGGATTACGCATAGCTTTTCTTCAATTTACGCTCTGTATATCTTAAGCGAAGCTTGAACCCCCCCCCCCCAATACATTTTGCTGGATCCGCCACTGGGACTAATATGAACTGGTACACCTGACTTTCAATATTGTGATTGGAAACGTGGCTGTTAGTTTGTTTAAAGCAAAACCGTTTGGCGACTGAAATGAATAAAATATATGTAAAATGTATTTTTGCACTATAATTAGTGTTTAAAAAATGGCATTAAAGACTCTCAAATGTTTTCTTTTCGAACCACTAATCCTCTTACTCTGAATTTTTGAGTAGATTAAAGTTTGTCTATGCTGGATTTAGGAAAACCGGGAAGTGCTCTTTTTAACATATGTCATATGGTCTAAGTGATGCGCTTTTTATTCATATCATTGATATTTTTTAACAGATATCACAAATAAAAAGTACAGCAGGTTACGTGACGTTCTGTGCCGTGATTAAGTAGTCCCCGTTCGGATACTGTCTGAAAATGGGTACTTATGGTTTGACCTCTGTGCATGCCTGTGCGTGCGTCCGTTCATTCGGATCTATATTTTAGCACAGTCCCTCTATCACCGGTCTGGAAACGCCTATTGTTTTACGTGTGAATCGGCGGGATTAGTGGACTAATGCTTGTAACGGCTCTCCGCGAAGCGCGGTACTATACTGTTGATAGCTTCTAGATACATCGCGTTCAGTGTTGTGATCTATTTTTTAACGTTTCCAGAACATATTCGATACCGTATACAAATATTTTTTACCATAGTTGATTCATAACGTCTTTGTTTTTAAAGAGAGTAAGTTTCGTTGTATACAATATGTTGATGCTCGACGTTTTCTTGTGTGAAATTATGTCTTTTTCACCTTTTGTCATCGAGGGACTGTGCCGTGACTTGTAAACTGACTCGTTTTTTTCTGTTCCTCTCATTAACGGTACATTCTTGACAACATGACAACATTTGTGTTTTTGGTAGATTTGATTAGCTCAATGGTCATGTTGAATATACGATTTTGATGATTGTTCGTTAAAAAAATGACACTTATTTTTAAGAAGTAAACGGCGTCCTTAAAAACAAAATGGACGCTCCCAGTTACGATGTTGTACACATTTTACTTCGGTAATTTTTTTTTCTGCTTATTTTGTTTTTCAGGCATATTAATTGCAACAACTATGTATATCGGCAACACAATCAATTAAAATACTGTTTAATGTCACAAGATGTATGATTTTTGGGTCTTGGTTTTGCACGTCATTGTATTCACGACGGCGTCATTTAGGATCACATCATTCTCTCAGTCGTATAATTGTAACGCTTGTTTCTGTTCCGATTACAAGGGAATGGGGTGATTCTCCAATTCCATTTTTATTTGGTGATTAAAGAAACTACTTCTGAAACTAATGGGGTGGTTTAATTCTAATTTCATAGACAAATTTTGTTTACGTTTAGACAGCAGTTGTGGAGTTTTGACAGGCGTGTGGGCGTAGCAATCATGCCTCGTAAAAGGTTTCTCCGGTATGTTTTCGGCACTGGTTGAACTACATGGTTTATCTTTATGCACTTCATGGATTTCTTTCTCAATGACGTCTTTTAAAACAAAATCCCAATCAATGTTGTCATCGTCGAATTCGACAAAATCGCCGTAAGCCTTCCACATGGCAATGTTGTGATCCGTGTGCTGGTAATGACGCATGCGCAATGACCCAAATCGCTAAGTATCCTGGTAACTTCCAGTGGGTTAATGATATGCACGACTACATCAATGGGAGTTTATTTTCGGGATAACTTGGCGTAAGGTGTCAACGATTTATTTGCCCGTTACGAGGGTTAGTACAATGCTTCCTCTGTGCTATATCTTGGTGTCACTCTCGACAGATCACTTACTTGGAGACCTCACATTAATAATATTGTTAAAACAATTAGTAAAATGATTGGACTCATTTCATATCTGCGTCACTACCTACCCAAATCACTTATAATATTACTATATAATTCACTCATTCTTCCACACATAAGCTATTGTATTGAAATATGGGGCAACACTTTTAGTACCGTTATAG